CAAAATCTTTTTGCATGTTGCATAAATTAAAAGCGGTCATCTTATTTTTATATTGGCTTCCTGATCCATCTGAGAAAAAGTAAATCTGTTGTAAGCTTGGCAATTTACATTTTATGAACGCTAGACAATGCGTAAGAAATAAACGAACTGCGACATGATTATGTTTAGTGAAATCAGCAATTGCAATAAAACTAGTAAATTTCAAATCGTTAGATTCTTCGTCTTTAAAATAAATAGCACAAGGGTGAATAGTACATTGGGCGTTCGCCCAATGAAAGCCTTGAACTGCATCCGGCACAACGAAAGAATAGTTCTCCGAAAAATCACAGATTATGATGCATTCTGTAGCTTTCAAATTGCTTTTGACGTGTTTCATGTAATTTGCCTGTTGCTCAGCTATAAAGTTATGCGGCAATAAATTGAATAATTTTTCTAAAAAAGTATCAATAAATTCCTGTGTGTCCATTTTAACTAAGTCCATAATGCATCTCTCTACTTGACGCCATTGTTTGAATTGTATTGATTCAACATGTCCGTTACTAAGAATAGTCATTAGTTCTGTGGCCAAAATTTGCGTTCCTGAACAATTTTTGCAACACTGCAGCCAGCATTGTTCACTTGGATTTTGACAAATTATTTTTTTAAACAAATCGTGATAGGAATCAACACCATCTGGGAGTGATTGTCTGCTTTGTAGTGTTTTAAAAATAAGTTTAACGTTCTGATGATATATACAAACGCATACGGTATGCGTGCCACTTGTCCCTGCCAAAATGCAGTGTTTCGGACGGTTACTGGCGAACATGGAAAATCCTATTTTAATATCAGGATATGTATTTTTAAAGATGGAGTACCCCTCCTGCAAGTTACCCAAAACTAATCTTCTTTGTACGTAGATTTTGCCTTCATCATTTTTAGATATTAAATAATCTCTTTTCCCCGGACAAACACGACTTATATCGTCACTATTGTAAAAATCACGAACAAGCATTATCGTTGGTTCTCCTAATGAAGCTCTGCTTAACCTCTTTACAGGCACCGACATTATTCCTTTCTCTTGCCGCAGTGCTTTTGCTTGGTTGGCCATATGTTGGGAAACATTGAACTCCTTCATAATTCTATATGTAGACCAACTTTTGGGAAGTGTGGTTAAAATCCTGTATCGCTCATTGCTGTCTCTTGTTTCTTTATATTTATCCTTAAGTTGTATAAGGAATTCATTTTCGTCCGACAAAGGTGCGTTGTAGGTGGTAACGATCGATTCAGAACTGGTTGTTTCCACTGATTCTGAAAATAAATATAAAAAATGATTGATTATTAGAAAAAAAAACATACAAATGATTTATTTTTTATTATTTACCTTGGCAGGGAACAGGAACCATTCTGGACGGTCCCGCAACGGAAATTGATTCAATGCTGGTTGCTTCGATGGACTCTGAAAAATGATTGCAAAAAAGAAGAGTTTAAGTTAGTAGTTAGAAGAAAAGAATTGAAATTTAAAGAAGAATCACATGAATTTTCAAATAACGTACCTGCAGCAGCGATTCTGGATGGTCCTGCAACGGCTTCTTCGGTCACGGCATCATTGGGTTCATATAGTTTGTGGTAGAATCGTTGACAAATAAAGGAGCTACTCTCATCTATTTTAATCTTTTTTCCACTGCATAATCGTACAATGGATCACATCATTCGAGCAGTTTAAAATGACGTTTCCTACCACTCGAACTTTAACGTGGAACAATATTTTAATATTTTTTCTTCTACAACCTCGAGAAAATAGGGTCTTATTTGTAAAATGCTTGAAAAATTTGGAATTGATTGTTTCATTTCCGTAAAATCGCTGGTAGAAGGTCGTCCCAAAACTGCTCGACAATATGATTAATTTATTGGTGATTTTTCTGGCACATGAACTCAACATCCAAACATCACACATTGAACACTTACGTTTCATTTTTAGATATTCTTCAATTCAACTGTTCTAGTAGGAAACTTTGATTTCTAACTGTTTCTTTCATAACATTCGTTGTTTTATGTGAAGCATTATATCGTACCTACGAGTGAGTGATATACCTACGAGTCTAAGCTGTAACTCATAGGTATATCACCTGTTCGTAAGCAATGACGTCACTTCAAACAGCTGTTACAGGTAAATAGATGAATATTGCGAATAAATACAAACACCACCAAACATTTCCAAATGTCACTAACACCGCGAAGCCTATTGGACTGGAGCTTATGTAAAAGTCATTGCCTACGAACGAGTGATATACCTATGAGGTACAGCTTGGACTCTTAGGTACTGATGCAACATGCAAAAAAATGTTGGCATTGCTGCCGTGTGGCATTTTTTCGCAACTTGTCATGGAAAAGGCCCTATGGGAGGAGTATTGAAACGAAACGCTTTAAAATTTGAGTATACGAAGGGAAAGGTAGGATCTGCCATGTTTAAAACTTGGTCTACGTGGTTTATGGACGGCCCGCAGGTTGAACTGAATGTTGCACCCAGCTTGTAAGTTACTCATAGATTTCATTAGTCACAGCTGCTGTGACTCGATGGAGACGCATTGTGAACTACCTTCCGTCTTCATCGTTTCCATGCACGTGTGGTGCATATATTGCGGAACAATAATTTTTTATTTTGAAAAAATTGTATCTCCAAAACTGCTTCTCCGACATCGCTAATTTTTTGATATGTTATGTAAAATTAAATGATCTTTCAATTAAAAATACTAAAATAAGAAGTTGTTGAAGACCCTCGCAGTAAAAATCAAGAAAAAGCATTTGTAACAATTTTTTCCTACAAAATCAAATATCTCTGAGTGTTTCATAATTTTTCTTAAAACAACATTAAAACATCTTTCATTTGAAGGGTCAATCGTAAAAATCGGTCAAGAGGTTCAGAAGTTATAATTTTTTGAAAAAAAGACATTTTTGAAAAAAAATGATTTTTTGGACCACCCTAACACGGAAATGGTCACCCTAATGGCGCAATAAAAAATACTAGTCTAATATTTTTTGATAAGGAAGAACTATACCAATTTTCATGAAATTCTGATACCCACTATAACTTTTTTCTATGGAATTGCTGTATATATATATTTAGAAAAACAATTCATAACTCATCATAACTCTAAACTACACAATTATTTAAGTTAGGCTATTAGTGAAATTCCAACAAACTTTTGGCTCGCAGCATCACAACTGGCATCGCTAGCGTGCCTCTTTCAAAATGCAAAGATACAGACAAGCCCTGGGACCTGGTTGCAGTTAAGCAATACTTAAAGCTATGCCAATGCCCAGGGAACTTTTCACAACCTTTTAATTAAGCCAAATCAAAAAGAAAAATCATCATTACAAATTATTAGAATAGGCAGTAAAACGAACTACTACTCCTTACAGTGGTTGAAATAGAAGTGACGTTTTCATTTGCTAGTTTATGGGCCTTATTACGGGTGTCACTTCACGGTGAAAACGAAGTGAGGTGACCAGTTGTCACTCACGGTGAAGTGATTACCGTGTAAATCAAATGGGAATCACTTCACCGTGAGTGATAAGTTGTCACTTCACCGTGAAGTGACATCGGTAATAAGGGACTATTACAAGATTGCTTTGATTGTTACTTTGATCTGAACGCCTACTGCTACTAACACTCCTCCTCGATCAGATCCGGACGAATTCCTACCTCGATGCGTAACTTTTCTAGTCACATCCGTTGAAGTGGCTTCGTTAGTAAATCGGCCAACATGAATTCTGTTGGGCAATACTTCATTGTAATTATTTTCTTTTCTTGCAGATCGCGAACGAAGAAGAACTTTGTGTCAATGTGCTTGCTGCGTCGTTCGATACGGTCACCTTCAACCATTTTGATACAGCTTTGATTGTCCTCAAATATGGTGGTCGGATCTCCAGTTTCCTCACCGATTTCCTCCATCAGTCGTTTGGGCCAGACAAGTTCTTGGCACCCTTCAGCAAGCGCTACGAACTCCGCTTCAACGGAACACAATGCGACGCACGTTTGTTTGCGCTAACCCCAAGCAATTGGTCCACCACGGAACATAAGGAGGCTACCTGAGTTTGACTTCCTGTCACGTGAGTCTCCGGCCCAATCCGCATCAACAAACATTTCTAGTCCTTTGGTCGAAGTACCTAGATGGAGCTTATGATTACAGGTGGTATTTAAGTAGCGTAAGATCCTCTTTGCTTTAAACCAATCTTGAGTGTTTGGGCAGCTGGACTTCTGTGCCAAAATCGAGACACTTACTGCGATGTCCGGTCTTGTATGTACTGCTACGTACAGAAGACCCCCGATCAGACTCAAATAATCGTGGTTACTGGGTTGCTGATCCGTCTCCTCCTTCTGATGTAGGTAGCTGATGTCGAGCGGTATCTTCGACGGTTTCGCCTTGTCCAACCCAAAAACGTTGTCCCAACTTCCGGATGTACGTTGCTTGATTTACCTTGTACCCGGATGCACTTTTCTCTATCTCCATTCCAAGAAAATGACGGATGTCTCCTAGATCCGTCACGGTGAAACAAACTCGAAAATGCTTGAAAATCGTCTCGAATTCCCGCTCCGTCTGCGATGATCATATCGTCAACGTAGATAAGATTGTACGTAAATTCACCGTTAGTCCGTCGTACATATAAGCATGAATCCGATTTCGTTGGCTGGAATCCTAAGTCTTTGAAAACGGAATCCACTTTCCGGTTCCATACGCGCGCTGTGTGTAAAATCGAAGTACGTTAAATCGAGGATGCGTAAAATTTAGGAGCATAAAATCGAAGTATGCCTGTATTTAAAGTCGTTCATCTCCGTAAATTTGGCCTAATCATAATATGAGGCCAGTTTGCATTTTCCAAATCTTTCATTCCGTTTATCTCCGTAAATATGGCCTTTGAGGGCTATTTAGGTGTTCGAAATCTTTTAGGATTTGCGGGAAAACGAGGCGAGAGGCTTTCGAATATGTTATGAGAATATTTCCTGGAAAATTCGAGTTACGAAAAAAGCAATTTATTTTCAGTTTATTTCAACCTAGTTAACGATTAAATACCAGCGTTATCCGTTGGTCTTATCAACAAAATTCAACCGAAATAATTTTAAATGACGGGGCTAAATACATTTATAAATTTCATAAATTTTTTTATTGGCAATTTGGCAATGAACAAAATGCGTCACGGGTAATTTTTCTCGTTCCGCTTCACTTCACTGGTTCATAAAGTTATGGAATAAATAGGCTAACTCGTCATCTTTTCACAACAAACATGTCTTAAAGAGTTATAGTAAAAATTCACGCTGTCGACCTCTGAAACAGGTCGGCATCGTGCAGTCAGTCGTATCTAATTGCCCATAAGAATATTAAAGCTCCCATATGGTTCCAACAAAAAGGTCAACAACGAGAATCGTGAATGTGAAAGGCTCAGGCACTGTCACACTTCGCACTACATATTGTAGTTTTCTCCTATATTATTTTGAAGATTACATATATCCTGTGCATCACGCCACCAAACTTAGAATGGAATATATTATTTAAATAGGCGTATGTTGTTCGCGATTCTCTAAAGCTACTACCGACGACCGCATTTATTGGTGGTACTTGTTAAGCTTCCTAATATTCCAAAATTTTCAACTGCACTCTTATTAGAAATTTGATTTCGTCGTCATAGGCAGGGTCACATATGTTGTAGGTACTTACGCAGTTACTCACTCACAGAATTTAGTTACACCAAGCTAAAGCCCTGAGTTTGCTGAATGGCTTGCAGCAGCTTGTACTTGAGTTTCTCCTTCGTCTGGTACTGGGGCAGATCCAGCAGATTGAAGCAGGTATGCGCCACCGGGAGGAATTTGTCGTCTGGCGTCGGCTGGATGTTGATCTGAAATGATGCAAACATTTTCGTAAGGTAACCCCATAATCTTCTTCAACCAGTGGAACTAGTGAGAAAATTATTCCGGCACTCAACCCTTCCCTTCGCTCTTTCTGCGGAGGCTTAGCCGAATGAGTCAATCTTACCTCTACAGATTACCATCAAGGGGAACGAGACAAAACAAAAATAAATCTGTGCTTCCTTCAAAGAAAAATATTAACTGGAAGCACGCCACCGAATCAAACACGATTTTTTAAAAACTAGTTTGTTTATTTACTAGGCTCAGTCGTGTGTGACACTTTGCGGAGCCAAAAATCCGTAATTTTTTAATTAACATTTTAACCAACAGTAAATCTAGGTTAGTATTGGGTACCAATTACTCGTGGCGGGCTCGAGGTTAATGGGTAACAATTTTTATTGGAAGGAGCTAGGTAGGAAACAGGATTCTGAAACCTCCTTCAGATACTACTCTCGGTCGGGTGATCAAATCCTGGCTGGGCAGGGGCGAGTAGCACAGAAACAGGTGGATAATAAGACTGGGATACAATGGCTGAAAAATGTGTGGAAAGGAGGGGATGGTCACCTCAAACTCAAACATCAGACAAACAAAGGAATTCGTAGATCGCCTGCATGTAGAGAAGATCACGGGTTCCCAATACATCTCTTACTTCACGGAAGGGCCACTAGGGTATCCAATAGACATGCTCTGGAGGCGTCATTACCCGGGCAAAGCCAAACGGCGTGATCGATGTAATCATAACCGGTTCTGCAACTACATATATTGCTGTCAACGAGGTTTATTTAGTGGTTGGACATAAGTCTTGACATCACGCGAATTAATCCCCGACTTACATCCAGACCTTTGAACCACGCTCTCGAAGAAACATTTGGAGTAATGGAATGTATCCCCGGCCAAGAGAATTACTCGTCCAATCGTTTTGCCAACTTAGAAGAGAACTCTGATGTACTAATGGGAAACCTTCATCTTGTGAAATTCTTCTATCATAAATCTCACCTTGTTGTGCGCCCACCTTTGCGGGAGAGTTTGTCTTTTCATTGCCTGGGATTGAGCAACCCCCCTTATTCTGCGAGTCACGTGACTCTCTCTCACCGGTGAGGTGACAATTGTCACCTCGTGTGAGGTGACTCTCCATGCAAATCAAATGGAGAGTCACCTCACACGAGGTGACTATTGTCACCTCAACGGTGAGAGAGATTCACGTGACTCGCAGAATAGGGGGGAATGTGAGGGGACCCATACAAAGGTAATCATATATGATCTTTCAACCAGCAAACTCATCTGCTCCCTTACCTTTGAAAGGAAATAAGATGAGTGCCTACCTTATTTCATCGACCGAATAGCCTCAATCGAACTGAGACTATCCGCGAAGATGAAGTAATGGTCTGTGGGCATGTCGGAAATCATCCCCAATGCGAAGTTGATGCTGCTAGCTCAGCACCATAAACGGAACCCGATTTCTCTTAACTGCTAACTCACCCACGCAAACAAACACCATCTCCCATTGCAAGCAGTATCTAAGTGAAGATCAACATGGCTTCACCTCTGGTCGATCTACTACCACGAATCTACTGTGTCTGACATCGTACATCACGCAAAGTATGGTTGAAAGGTCACAAACAGACGTCATCTACACTGACTTGTCTGCTGCCTTCGATAAGATAAATCACCCCATCGCGATCGCCAAATTGGATAGACTTGGGATTAGCGGAAATCTCTGGAGATGGTTTTGCTCATATCTCGCCGATCGTCAGTTGGTGGTAGCCCATGGTGACTGCCAGTCCGACATTTTCGCAGCTACGTCAGGAATACCTCAATGAAGTCATCTAGGACCGTTGATGTTCTACTCTACTTCAATGGCGTGAATTTAGTTATCGAAGGTCCACGACTATCGTATGCAGACGATCTCAAAATCTACTTACGGATCTGCTCGATCGATGATTGTCAATTCCTCCAACGTCAGATTGAAGCGTTTGCCAGCTGGTGCCATTTGAACCGAATGACAGTAAATCCTGCAAAGTGTTCAGTCATCACTTTTATCCGAAAGAAAGAACCAGTTATTGTTCACTATGCTCTCCGGGACACCATTATTGAACGTGTGAGCCATGTAAAAGATCTAGGTGTCATCCTGGACTCTCAACTTACATATAAGCAACACATCTCGTACGTCGTCGACAAGTCGTCAAGGACATTGGGCTTTATCTTCAGAACAGCTAAGAATTTCTCCGACATCAATTGCTTTAAGTCACTGTATTGTTCCCTGGTACGTTCCATTCTAGAATATTGTTCTGTGGTTTGGAGTCCGAACTACAACAATGGTACTGAGAGAGTCGAGTCCGTTCAACGCCGCTTTCTGCGATACGCGTTGAGAATGTTACCTTGGAGAAACCCGTTTAATTTGCCCAGCTATGAAAGTCGCTGCCAGCTGATCGACTTGGAGCCTCTTCGCACCAGAAGAGATACTTCAAAAGCCCTGCTTGTCACGGACACGTTACATGGCAGAATTGATTGCATGGCAATCTTGGAGCAAGTAAACATTAACGTCCAACCCCGAATGCTTCGTAACAATGTTATGCTGAGAATGCCACTACGTAGGACAAACTATGCAATCAACGGTGCAATAGGCGGACTGCAGCGAGTATTTAACCGAGTTTCATCAGTATTCGATTTTCACCTGCCACGACTAACACTTCGGAGACGTTTCTCTTCATTCTTCTCCCAGAAATGGAAACAGTCAATGATCATGTTTTAATGTTTTGTAGTTTTAACTTATGACTTCAATTTTAATTTTAAGTTAAACCATCACTGGAACCATATCGAGTCTGTTGATGCTGACAAATAAATAGCAAAATCAGATACGTCAATTTGATTAGTTACGCTTGTCTTTTTCTTCTAGGCTTTTTACACTTCTGTAGCGATCAACTTAGTAGTGTTCTAGATGAACTGCATGATTTTGTATATTGAGTGGCAAGCACAATGATATTCTATGCCCAGGGAAACCTAGCCCCCTTGGTAAAGCTTTCCAGCAATCCACTGAACATGCCCGATCCATGTCCAAAATCCAACAATCAAACCGCACAAAATCGCTGACAAGACTCACCAACTCACCTTGATTGCTTTCATGCCTTGAATCGGTATACGATCACAGCCCGTCAGGAAGAGCAAGAACTTCTTCTTCTCCTCCAGCGTTAGCTCGTGGAAGACCTCCCAGAACCACCGGATCTGCAAGAAATAAACGATTAAATCCACCACCCACACCCACCAGCATCGGTCCATCCTCAAAAACATACCGAGCGATCACCGGAGCTGTATCCATTCTTGTACTCGGCATTCTCCTCCAGTATGTGCCAGTCGTACTCCTCGTTGCCGATGACCACCGCCATCAGTTCATGGGCCTTGAACAGCTTAAGCACACGGCCACCGCACACCTTCATGAAGCCGAACCGGAACTGCTTGAACGACTTGTCCACCGATTTGTTCAGCACATAGTCGATGTACAGTTTGGCGAATTCTTCTCTGCAATGAAAAATTCCATTCCAAATAAAACCGCTTCGCTCGGAAAGCGTGTCTCCAAAAACACCTACTTATTATCCAGCGTCACCCGAATCCGCTCGCCACCCGGTTTCAGTTCAATGGTTTGCATTTCGCCAAAGTAGTCCCGCGTGGTCGAAAACGTCAGATCGAACACCTTTTCAAAGTCCGGTTCCGTGTAGTCCAGAATGCTTTGCATCGATTGCGCCACCATCGGTGAGAGATCCTTCAGGTCGGTGAGATCTACTTCCTCGTCCAGAAGCTTCTTGTACAGTGCCAGCGGGAAAGGCAAATTGATGATCGTGAAATTGTAGATGGCCAATCCGCACAGTATTCCGATCAGAGCGAACATGGTGTCTTCGTTTTCGAAGTAGTCTTCCGTAAACCAAATCGCTCGGGAATCTTCGTACGTTTTGAACATCCCGTACTTGGGATCAAGGATGTCTTTGAGTAGCAACATGAAGAACTCCTTCCGCAGGCCACCGGCGTCCTCGGCTTCCTCGCCGTGGAACTTAATCTTCAGTGGTTTCTTCAAATCGTTCGCCGTGTATTGCGCCAATTCTCGAATCGTGTCCTGGACGATGTTTTCTCTCGACACGTTTAACACGATGAACTGCGGGACGCCTAGATCCGGGTGGAAAACGGACATAAAACTCGCATGGGCTGCATCCTGCATCGCTTGATGCATCTGCAGTCCCTGATCCGTCTGCAGCAGGTAAGTCTTGGCGGAAGCGTTGAAGATAAAAGGATAATTGCACAGCGAGAAATAGGTCCCGTTTGTGTCCGTCACCCAGCGCAAGTAGTCCAGCCGGATGTCGATCAGATCGTCAATTTCGTGGATGTGGAATTGTTCGTAAAGCAGTTTTTGTCGCCGATCGGTGTGGTTGATTTTGTATAGAATTGCTACCACGTTCAACATCGCTGCCAGGTTGGCTTCGTAGCGAATTTCCTGCTTTTCCACGTTACAACCGATCGCTTTCGGGAACTTGAAGTTGAGTATGTATACTATAACGTTTTTAAAATTCTCCAACATGCGTTCGAAGTACTCCACCGATTGATTCGCCCACCAACGGGCCACGATCGTAAAGGGGTTCTTCTGAAGGTTCTGCACGGCCTGGCTGAAGGGTGTATGCAGCTTCTGGTAGTTTTTGGAGTTGATAAATTCGTGGTACATTGGCAGCATCAGATAGACTCGCAACGTTTCCACATCTGCCGGTGAAGCTACGAGCGAGCTGATCAGATCCGTGGAGATCGATTCCCAAATCAGCTGCTTCAGAGTATCGTGTTCAATTTTGCGAATGCATTCGAACGATTCTTCCACGGCTTCCATGTTCACTCCGGAATGCTTGGATGTGCAGCAAAAGTGCTGTTCGTTGGGTAGCAGCCAGGATCCGTTGAAGCATGCCAAACTTCTGAATACGGTTTCTACCACGGTCAGCAGGTCGATGTCTACGGTTTCGTCCGGTTGGATCCGGCACAGGCTTTTGCTGATGTCACTCGACATGGAAAGGATCTGGGAGTTGGGATCGTGCAGACGGTAGTCGGCGGAGCCTATATTGTCGGAATCGTTGGCTTGCAGCGAAACGAAGCACTGATCACCACCGGAGAAGATTCGTCCCACGATCAGTTTGACCGGGGGTCCGGGGTTTATAGTGACGATTTTATCCGATCCGGAATCGATCTGGGGATGCGAAAGGGATTGGAGAAAAAGAAGACAATGGTCAACATTGAGAAGGCTTCAACGATTAAATGGTAGTAAGGTAGTCGATATTACCGAATATTTCCCACCGTCTGTACTTACCCATGGTCCGCGAACGATCTGCGGCGTATTGGAGCTGGTACTGATTCCCACGCCCAGCTGCCCAACTCCACCTAGGCCAAATCCGTAGATCTTCCCCCTGGAAGGCACAAACGCCAACGTATGCCTCCGTCCGCATGCAATCTGTGTAATCTTGCTTCCCATCAGTTCAAACACCATCCTCGGGAGAATCTCGTTGCTGCACGTCCCATGTCCCAGCTGACCAAACGTCCCCGCTCCACAAGTGAACACTCCCCCTTCCTGGGTGAGAAACACGGAGAAGTCATCTCCGCAGCTTATGTACCGAACGCCTAGATTTCGCAACGTTTTCAATTGATGTGGATAACACCGAGAGACGAGATCGTTCAGACCCAGCTGACCGAAGGTATTTTTGCCCCAGCCGAATATGGCACCAGATCTGAAAGGGAATCAAAATATATAGTTAAATCTAACCTAACGCCGCCATAAAGCGAGCAGATCTTACTTGGAAACAGCGAAACTGTGATTACCTCCGCAGGCTATAAATGCGATGGGGATTCCCGCAAGCGACTTGACTAACGTCGGGGTCACAATCTTTTCGCTGGTCGTTCCCAGACCCAGTTGGCCGTAACCGTTGGCTCCCCAAGAGAACAGCTCGCCACTGTTGGTCAATGCAAGGGAATGGAACAGACCGGATGCAATTTGGACCACCGTTTTCGCGGCAATCGTTTTGATCGTCCGCGGAATGTTGTAGTTGAGCTGGTCCGTATCGTGACCCAACTGTCCGATGGAGTTAGAGCCCCAGCTGAACACCTGTCCCCAGTTGGTCAGGGCCAGCGAGTGCGCCGTGCCACAGCTGACGTGCGTTATGATGTAATTCTCGAGCGCAGAGATTAATTCTGTCGGGTTAAGAGCAAACAGAGACGTGAGAAAGATTAAGCGTAAGTTGCAGTTGCTTCAATTATAACAACCAAAACAAAACAGACATAGATAGAGGACAGGCAATGCAATTAATGGGATGATTCACGATTTCATGTGGCAAAAATATCACATACTAAATCGGCACGTACGTGGCCGTTTGTTGGGCAGATTGTCGGTATCGTGCCCCAGCTGACCGTGGTCGTTGTTGCCGCAGGAGAACAGCTTCCCATCCTTGGTCAGGAGCAGGGTGTGTGTAATACCACAAGCCGCTTGCTGGACGCTCGATGCATGGCACCAGTCCATTTCCCGGGGAAGCAGCACCTTCAGGAGAAATGAGAACCGAAGATCACGGCATGTTGAAAATGATTGTGCCTTTGTGTTCGAAAGTTGTTTACCTGCTCTTCCTCGATACCGCCTAGACCCAATTCACCGTAGACGGTGTTGCCCCAGCAATAAACTGCCATACCGTTTCAGTAGTGTGGCTTTCGTTGCAGTGCGTTCAATGTACTGAAATGGAAACAAACATCGATAAGCGGATTTCTCCTTTGAAACAGCTCGCTATTCCAGAACGACAATTTCTTTCGGTTATTGTGGTTTCTCGTTTGTTGAACCGATTTGGTTTAAATCAATGCGATCTATTGCGTCACTTTCTCGCAAACAAACCAAATGAGAAAGAAATCTTCATGAACGACCTTTTTGAAAATGCTCTTTCACAAATAGTTCATTGAAGACCCGCGATGCCACGAATGAAAGTGAAAATCAATATTTATTAGGATGAGGAGGATAACCTGCTTCCGCACTATCCGCTGATGTTCGCACCGTGAAATTGCAACCCAATGGTGAACACACAAAATGTTCTAGAAGCATCTCTCAAGTACTCAAGAGAAATCCGGAAAGGTCTTGCGTTCGATCGTACGCTACACGGGACAAATACATTCTACAGCTGTAGATGGAACTACCATTATATGCCTTTAGCAAGGAAAGGTCGCGAACGATATGAAAAGCACAAAAAAAAAGCAAATGAGCCAAAACAAACCTGTTATTGTGGACCGAAGTCGAACGGAGGATTTGCCTATATCAGGAAACGCTGGCCATCCGCATCGAACCGCAAGTTGACACTCTTTTTAGGATCACTGCACTACAGCAAACCGTTTGGAATGACAAATTTTCACTTCAATTGGTGAATTTTCAATGTAAAAAATAATTAAATTTCACACGAGCGGGGACTGCGGTAGCAACTGATAGGAGAGAAAAAAAAACTTCGTGTAGTTTCTCTGATCTGACGTCTAGGCACGATATTGAAAAAGGCGTAATGAGCAATGCAGATATGAGAAGGTTAGAAAAATTTAACAGTCGTATAAATAATTCAAAAATAACTCAATAACTGCTATTGGCGATGTCAGGTTCTTTTGCCGAATGCATAAAATAATGACTTAATTGTAATGAATTATATCCGATTCCGACGCTATACCGATCAAAATAATAATATCGCGACAAGCTCTTTTGTAATCCAACAACTGTTGCATCTGAGCTCGTATCAAAAATACACACACGCACACAGATTCGACAGATTCGAGTGATTAGAAAAAATGCATTGCGAATGCGTTCTGGGCGAGAATGTGTTGGTTTGTTTACAACGAGTGGTTAGAATTTCGAAGCATTTGAGTGTGTGTGCCAGCGTTGCCAGATATACCGATTTCCGAACTAGATACCGATACACAGATAAGGTTCCTCAGAATACCGATTTTTGAAGTTTTATACCGATTTATACCGATATTTTAAATAATCAAAATGATTATTGTCTGCCCGCGCTCGAATTTCGGAGAAAATTTTTGGGAGAGACTTGTATCTTTCTGAATATCACAAATGTTTTGAGCCTTTAACATTTAAAAATTCATCATTAAAAATATCTTATGGATACTCTTTCGATTATTGTTTCAATTTCCTCACCGTTTTTGGCTACCCATGAATCGACAAACAGTCGATGGCTCTTTCTGGTAATTCCGGGGGAATCAAGAAATACTTTTTAAACCCTATTTAACTCCCTGGATTTTCTTCCAACTTTCTCCTGGAATTTTCTTCAACCTTACATCGTAAATTATTTTACGATTCCTCTCGGAAACATATTTCGACTTTCAAAGTGTTTTTTTTTTACGTTACTTCATACGCGAAGTTAACGATTTTCAGAGTTGGTTGGAAATGCTAACATGAAGCTTTAGTGTGATGATTTATTAGCTAGAGAATGATCTTTAGAAGAGGGTATTTCCATACAACTCTGAAAATCGTTAACATCGCGTATGAAGTAACATAAAAAAAAAACACTTTGAATGTAACAACTCAAGGCGGGAGTAGCCGTCAACAATGCTAATGATGGTACAGCACGCAACAACCACCCTACTGCCTTCTCTCTGAGATGATCACGTTGGTCATGACGAGAGGAGCAACACAATAGTTGGGTAAAGAAGAACTGCATTATAACACACCATCGACTGGAAATGCTCTCGCAACGTGGAGCTTTAGGTAGTGATGAAAACGTCGCTAGAACTATTCCACAGCCGCAGTCAGTTTATGAGCAAAAAGAGGGACGCACATTTTTGCCTGTGGACTTGGAGACATACTTCAAGTCCCCGCGTACATCGTACGGGTTAGGCAAAAATGTGCGTCGATCTTTAAAAAAAACTGTCGCATTAATGGCCCTTCGTTCATTTTCAACTTCTATTCAATTTTCATACTGCCGTACTCTAACGGAACTATCCACCTACCCTCTTCTAAAGATCATTCTCTAGCTAATAAATCATCACACTAAAGCTTCATGTTAGCATTTCCAACCAACTCTGATATTTCGACTTCCCTTGGAAGATTCTTCAGCCTTCGCTCGAATGATTCTTCCATCTTCTCCTGCCAGTTTTTTCAACTTTCCCGGAACTTTTTGATTGCGGATTCACACTAGCTGCAGGAACTTTTAAGAAGTTCTGAAACTTCGGAAAAGTCCAGACTTTTTAGCAAGTTTCGATAAGTTGAAGAATGTTTCAATAACCTCTGTTAAAATTTTAAAAGCCAGTCCAACAAACTCCAGTGATCTTAAGGAAACATCATAAATATTTTGGATACTTCACAAGTCCAAAGAACTTCTGGAAAATTTAATGGTTTTCAGGACAGTTCCATAAGTTTCAGGAGAATTGAGAGAACTTTAGTAAGCTCCGAGAACATCAGGACAGATCAATAAATTTCAAGGAAATTGCTGAAATTTTAAAAGAGTTCCAAAAAACTCAGGCTATTTACGAAAACTTCAGCAATGTTCCGAGAGGCTCATGCAAATTTAAGAAACGTAAGGGAAGTTACACGAACATTAGCACATTGTGAGAACATTTTATGGGAAGTTCCATGCTTATTAATGGCAGTGTCGATAACTTTTAAAAATTAAAAAAATCGGGAATATCAGAGAACTTCAATGCTGATGTTACAATAAATTCAAGAAAATTGTGATAGCGCTTAAGGGGAAGCTCACCGGCCCAAAAATAAAAAAATATTTTCGGTACGTTTTTATTTTTCTAAAAATATTGGGAAAAATTATCAAAAATCCAAGAAAATCAGTTTCTTCCTTAGATTTTTGTCAAAAATTGCATGCAAAAAATTTTTTTCTATCCCATCATGAAAAAAAATTGGACTCTCAGAAAAACCGAAAAGTTGATGTTTTGTGGTTTTTTGAGTCCAACTTTATGCCATAATGACTTATAAAACATGTTTTTGCACGTGAATTTTCTTTAAAAAATTAGAAAAAATGTGATTTTTTTAGATTTTTGATACTTTTTTTCAATATTTTTAGAAAAATCAAAACGTAATTATTTTTTTCGAAGCGGTGAACTTCCCCTTAAGACATTTCGTAACTAGTTTCGTAATCTTAAAGAAAGTTTAGAGACCTTCAAAGTTGATTAGAGATATTCCGGTAGTCCCATTATAATTTCAAGGGAAGTTTCAAGTATTTCAAAAATGATTAGAGTACTCCAAAACAGCCCTATTAACTTTAATAAAAATACAAGAACTTTTAAGGAATTCCGAGGAAATATGTAATATGCCTAAGTACATTTCAGGAATGTTCCAAAAACTTCAGGAGACCCTGCAATCAGGGATGTTTTATGACCATTTGGATATTTTTTTTCAAGAACTCTCCCAAGAGCTCTTTTTCTTCCGGAATTATGTCGTTGTTTCTTTCGACTGTTCCGTTTTTTTTTTCTTCCATTCTACCTTAGGAAGTTTCTGAAAGCGTCTCCAGGAAGTTTCTTCCGTCTTTTCCAGGAAGTTCAATTAAACTTCTCCCAGAAATTTATTTCGTCTAGTTTTGGAATTTTGTCCAGTTGGTTTTTTTAACTTCTATTGGAAGGTTTTTCCGAGCTTCTCCTGGCTTCTCCTGTAAATGACTATTTCTGGAATTTACTTCCGATTTACCAAACTTCCGGAGTGATTTGAGAGTTGGGCGTAATTGCATTTGTAAGCAAACACGCAAATCACCGATTTCTCGCAAATCAAAACTCGATCTCGAAAACTAATGACACTATCAGGTAGAGGAAAGATTCTTCTGCCATTTGGTTTTGTTTGTTTACAAGATTGATCTGATATTCACGAGAATTCAGCGATTGATGTGTTTGCTTACAAAAGCAATTACGCCCAAATCTCAAATCATTCCGGACTTGTCTGCCTTCCTGTGAATGTGAAATCCGATTTTTTTCTGAAAGATTCTTTGAATTTTCGCCAGAAGTTACAAAATTTATGTCTTAGAAGTTCCGCGGATGTTTTTCCGACTTCTGTCAGAACTATCCTCAAATTTCCAGAAGCTAATTCAAACTTCCCTGGAGTTTTCTTCCGGAATTTTCCGATCATAGTCCAAAAGTGAAAATTTTCGCTTTCAAAAACGGCAAAAATATAAAATTAATTAAAATAGTAAATACCGATAAATACCGATTTTTTAAAACCTTTGATACCGATAAGCTTTAAAACATTCTGGCAATGCTGGTGTGTGCGATTACTGGTGTGAATAACGGAGTGAAGGCGATGCCCGATACAAAGGGACGTAACTATTTCATGCTCGCGCAACATTTAAAAACGGCTCATCAACTTCTGTACACAAAGCTTGTTAGGCCCTTTTCATGTGAACCGAAGTACGCCCACGCAAACCTACAACACCATCGGGGAGGGTAAATTCTCCCCTTCCCGCTCTTTCGTTCGCGTGAAAAGGGCATAAGAAGTTGTTGATAAAAGTTGATTGGCCCTTTTCAAAAGTTACGTAAGCATTACATCATGTGTTCATTTTTAGTAAACACAGCACCGCTCAAACGTCATTTTTTTTTCGTGAGTTCATTCCGTGCATTGGTCTATAGACGAGTGCACGGATGGATTTGAGTTCACTCACTCGACAAAAAGTGACACAACAACGGGGCCAGGGGCCGGGAGTGTACCAGAGCTGAGCCAAAAAGTTGAGCACGTTATTTCGGGACCTTCTAGTCTTAAAGTTACCTCTATGGTATAAGCACAAACGAAGTGACAGACGGAGCGGCTCGAAAACTTTGGTGACTAACCTGCTATTTCAATTTTTCAGTGTACCACATGGCAACACCACTACTACTGGATTGTACCACATGGCAACACTACTACTACTGGATTGTACTAGCATTTTCACCAAATGTATTAGAATGTTTTGGTTCTATCTCTTTCACTCTACTCAAAACTGGAATGCATAAAAAATGACAAAATGATACACTACTCTTTGCACACTGCCAAAGAATCATTGTACACTAAATCAACTTTGTTCAAATCAAAACAAAAAAACTAACCCATCTGGTGGATGATGGCACAAGCTTCCAAGAAAATTCTATTACAGTGAACCACATTATTTTAATGGATTTCTTCACCAGTTAGTCGTCTGTCACTTCGTTTGTGGTATAAGCATAGAGGTAACTCTAAGACCAGTAGGTCCCGAAGAAACTTGCTCAACTTTTTGGCTCAGCTCTGGTACTGTCTTCGGTCCCAAGCTAATCGATTCACCCCTAGAAACATAGGAAAATCCACTAACCCCTCATTTAATCTGTCAAACTTTCATAGCGAATCAAAACAAACATTGTGTAGTACTAGAATTTCGACGTACGGCGTACGGGGTACGTTAATCGTTTGCTTGGGACCAATAGGCTAGTCAAGCAGTGCGCCAATTTAAAATCGTTAGTATCGTATTGATTGTTGCTAAAACGCTGAACATCAGAACAAAATTTTCGAGAAGCTGCTCCACCAGCAGCGCGGGCCCCAAGCGGTAGTTCTAGTACCTCAAAATGTTCCGCTTCCTCCGCCATTGTCTCTCGAAGGGGACATGGATGAGAACTTCACATTTTTCGAAGCCAACTGGAAGAATTATGCCATGGCGGTGGGCATGGACGACTGGCCTGATGCGGAAAATGCAAAAAAAGTGAGCTTCCTTCCTACTATCCGTCGTGGGTACGGAGGCACTAACACAGTTTTGCAACTTCGATCTAACAGCAGCAGACAGAATATCGCCGGATATGGTACTGGCAGCCATAAAGGTCAAAGTGACACGAACCAGAAATATCATCATGGATCGGCTGGACTACTTCACGGCCAGCCAGACTGCGATGGTAAGTATAGACGATTACACGGCACGTTTGAAGACTCTGGTGAAGCCTAGTATGTTTGGAGCTCTAGAAGCGGAAATGATCACCTACAAACTGGCCACCTGCAACAAATGGCCACATCTTAGATCAAAAATGCTCACGATGACGGGCCTTACATCGGCTAAGGCGATAGATCTGTGTCGTGTAGAAGAGATTACTGCGAAGCACGTACAAACCCTTTCGTCGGACAAGATGTTGGAGGTAAACAAGGTCCAAACATCATCATCGAAGGCTCGTTTGTGTAAGTTCTGTGGAGATTGGCATGCATTCACAAAAGGCTCATGCCCAGCCTACAGAAAAAAAAGTGCAAGTGCAAGAACCGGTCGAGCTCGTCGAAACGGAACCGATTAGGAAGAGTACAGAAGATATTGGCAAGATTTTTGATAACTCTAATGTGGACCCTACACGATTGCTTGTATTGACAATAATCGTATTGTCAATACATTATATATTGACGTCAATGTATCGAGATTGACAATATTTCTGAATTCACATCATCAATATTATTGTCAATAATTCCCCTTCGCGTCAATATATTGATGCGTGTGGGGTTTGCTTAAGAAAGGAGGGAATGTTCTGGCGGATGTGCTCCTGAAGGTGAATGGCAAATGGAAAAGCGTAAAATGCGAGCTGGATACAGGTGCCAATACTAGCTTGATCGGGTATGATTGGCTGTGCAAGCTAACCAGAGAATCAGATATGGATTTGCTCCCGTCACCGTACAAGCTTCAAGCTTTTTGTGGTGGCGTAATCAATGTTCTTGGTCAAGTCAAACTACCCTGCAAGTGTCAATCCAAGAAGTATCTACTTGTACTGCAGGTCGTCGACGTCAGCCACAGGCCATTGTTATCACTGAAGGTGTGCACAACGTTTGGTCTGATCAAGTTTTGTAAGTTTGTCAGCATGTGGTACCTACCCAATCGTCATCGGGAGAAAGTGATCCTTATGTGATGAAAATATATCGCATCGAAGCCGAGAAGACTATCGAAAAGTTCAATGACGTTTTCCATGGATACGGGAAAATGAACGGAGAAGTCAGCTTGGAGATCGACAGTAGTGTTGCACCGGCAATACAACAGCCTCGCCGGGTCCCAATCGCTCTTCGGCCGAAGCTGAAGGCAGAACTCGATCAACTTCAGAAAGACGGAATCATCACGAGGGAGTATCAACACACATAATGGGTGAGTAATATTCTTGTCGTTAAGCGTGGTACTGCAGGATCCGAGTCAATGCGCATTTGCTTTGACCCTATTCCATTAAACAAGGCGTTGAAAAGACCCAATCTCCAATTCGTTACCCTGGATGAGATTCTGCCTGAGCTGGGTCAGGCTAAGGTATTCTCGACAGTTGACGCACGAAAGGGGTTCTGGCACGTGGTGCTAGACGAGGCAAGCTAACGTCGTTTTGGACACCATTTGGGCGCTACCGTTGGCTGAGGCTTCCTTTCGGCATCTCATCTGCGCCCGAAATATTCCAATCAAAACTGCAGGAATAATTCAGGGGTTGAACGGCGTAGCGTGCCTGGCAGACGATCTTCTGATTTATGGTCGAGGCTCAACCATTGAAAAAGAAGCACTTCGCGACCACAACAATAATCTATAGAAGCTACTCGTACGTCTGAAGCAACTCAACGTAATAAGGCATTTTACGAGACGTTTCGAGTCAGCTGTTTTTTTTTCTGTTTACCTATTTTGACGTTTACCAGCGGGCCGATTTGTTGACATACCACGACCAAAATCAAAACAAAAACATCAGACGTAAACAATAACAATGCCTCGAGCGCGTTCGAGTGGCCCGCTAGGAACTGTCATCAAGACGTCACGTAAAATAGCTTATACCATAGAGGTATTACCAACAATCAATACGAAACTAACGATTTTAAATTGGCTCACCACTTTAGTAGCCTATTGGTCCCAAGCAAACGATTAACGTACCCTATTCTAGTTGAAATTCTATTACTACACTATGTTTGTTTTGATTCGCTATGAAAGTTTGACAGATAACATCAGGGGTGTGTGGATTCATGCAGAACATGCAGGGGTGAGTGAAATAGCTTGGGACTGCTTGGGACCGTTGTTCTGGTACTGAGTGAGCCAAAAATAATAATGATTTTCTTCGGGACCCAGTGGTCTTAGAGTTACCTCTATGGTATTACTGCACTTGGAACACACGCTCTGCGCCAAGCAGACCTAGAACCAGAGCAACAGATTTGAACAATTTCCCACAACGAACCAACCATACCTTCAAAAATCAGTTCATCTTTTGGCATTCTATGTCTTTGTAGATGAGATTTTTCAAAGAAAGGCTTTCTAGGTGAAGATTTGAGCTACGTCAGAAAAATTTAAAAATTCCATGTGGAAGATGTTTAATTCATCAAAGCATTTCAACCAAAATATTGCTCTTATTTTTCTTAACTACAATTACCTGTATGCTCCAAAATGGAACCTATTAAACGACATCATTAATTTTCATAAGCATCACCATCAATTTAACGAACGTGGAAGCTTGAATCGAACCATTTTACGAATATTGGAAATTTTACACCGGGAGAAAAATTTACGATTCCCGTTGGGAAGGACGTTAGGCAGGATTGCCTTTGCAATGAAACGAGATGTGTGCTCAACGCAGTTAAATCGACGAAATCGATTTAATGAAATATGCAAAGGATACTTAGCTGCTCGGTTAACTGGCATGGTGGTAGACCATCGAAGGATTGGGTTTTATGTTTGCAGAGCCTACAATCAAACACATCTACGTGGTGAGCGGTAGGCAAAACTTTCTCTTTGGATTCGGCGATGGCAAAAGGCAGGAGGCAGCACATGCATAGTTAAAACGGCATATCGGCGACCCTCGTCCACGAGACATGCGGAAAGCCAAATTAGGATTGATTATTGAACACGAGTGCGGCTGATGCGAGAAAAGGACCAGTTTGGAATTGTCGATCGTTCAAGAATGTGGCAACAAGTGGCTACGCTAGAGGAGTTTATTTGATTTAGCTCGAAATTGTGTTATCAGCTACGGATGGTGCTTTTCTAGAATGCTTTTAAGGGGTTGAATAGAGCCGAAAACTTTGAGACACGTGTTTGAATATTGATCTATTACTTTACGATTAATTTATTTGCTTTGTTTAGTTTAGATAAATAACGTTTGGTTGTTAAGTTTGGGGTTATGCTTCGTCTATCCTTTTGCATTGTTTGTTATTAATGTATGGTGAATTTGATAGAGAAACACTAATAATTCATCTGTTTACAATGTGTTCTAACGTATTGAATTATCAAGTTTAGCGACGAATTGTCTAACTAGAATGCATTGTAAAAATCTGTCTGGCAACATTTAATCGAGTAGTGTGTCGTAACAGCAACTCCAGGCAATAACCAAAACCTTAAGGCTTCAACTGCGACGTTATAAACGACACCATTAGCGCTTCGTGGACGGAAAGCTTCGCACTCGGCTGAAACTCCCATCTCTGGCAAACTTGCAACCATGCCTTCTCCGCACTCATCGACATCGGCGTCTGGAACCAGCTATTGTAGTCAATGTCCAGTTGTCCACTCAGCAGCTGATCGAACGACTGATTCCCGATGTGGAACATGATATCGATCAAGCTTTGCTGGGTTTCCTTGATATTTTGTCCCGGGTTCGGTTGAAGCGGATTTATCTGAACGTCACTTACTCCCAGCTGTTGAAGGATCCACTCGATGTTTTTCCGTATGTATTGGTAGATCATCTGGAACATTCCAAAATTTTAAACGATCGATAATTATCTGAACCGATGCTTACTCACCTTCATGCTAAGCTTTCCCACGCCCGCCATCAGCACATCGCTAACCAACATCTCGGCAATGTATTCCGCATTCTCCACGTCGAACTCCTCTTCGGATCGAACGCTCGGCGACAGATGTATGTACGCATCCAGTTCATCAATCTTGGAGGTACTGGCAAAGCTCAACCCAACCGCTTCTTCCATCTCATTGTCCAGCGTGTTCGAAGCTCTCTGACTCTCACGGGCCTGGTTGATCAACGACTGGATCTGTTCCGTGTGTTTGTTGTCTTCGTCGATGAAACAGATCGCTTCGGCCAGGGTTTGACAAATTACCGATCGTGGCTTCATGTTGATCGTCGATGCATGTCCGCCTTCCGTTACTGGAGTCGGAGGAGTGGTCGTATCTTTGTTTTCTTTCTGTTCCTTCAGCTCAGCTTCCGATTCACTTTCCGACGCCTCCAGTAGCTTGGAGTACAGTGCCATGTAGAGGAGCTGTATGAGAACCGAATCACCAAGAGGTCTGATCTCGGCCGGTAAAATCTCCGTCAAGCAGCTGACCACGGTGTAGAGACAGTCCGGAATGCAGTCCCACATTTCCGAAAAACAGGACAACGACAGCGACATGGCTTGGTAGATGCTAGCGGTAGTTTGGACCGCCGAGACCAGCATATGGATGATCGGTCCCAAGATCGGATAGATCAGGTGAAGGGTGGCTTCCAACCATGGAGGACGCTTCTGGTTCCAGACCTGTCGTCGATCCAAGCAAGAAGCCCAGTCGTTCAGCTTGCACTTCTCCAAAGCGGATATGAGGGTCTTGTTGACGTCGGAGTTCTTTCCGGCCATGATTACAATGTAAGTCAGCCCCATTAGGACTTGGTAGTTGGTTTGGCCGATGGGATCTAAAAGAGAGAGTGAAGTGATCAAATCGCAAACAACTGTATGAACTCACCTTTTTGCTCCAAAGACCACTGCACAATGTCGTTACACTCCAGTCCGCAGAGGAATCCCTCGCACTTCTTTGACATGCTTTCTCGGTTTATTGACGGTTGCTTGGAACTGGGAATGAAATTATCGCATGTTGGCAAGTTTTTTATCAAATGGTGAAATATCAAAGAGGAGAGGTGTGCTTCCCGCATCAGGAGGACCTTCAACAGAAGCCACCAGTTTGCTTGTGGAGCTGCCAGAAGAACCTTCAGCTCCAACGAAAGTGCCGTATTGGTCGGTAGTTCAGAGCAACGAGTAGCCCAGTGTCCATTCTGGTTGGTGGGGAACAACTTCGGTAAGGCGAAGATTGTCCACGGGGTAATAAGTCCCTGGCGCAGGTTGAACATTGCAATCGAGTTGACTCCCTTCTTGGTGATCTGAAATTAGATGGTGGTAGAAGATCATGACTTTCAATCAATCATTAGGTTACCTTGTAAAGCACCCCAAGTGGAACACCTCTCAGTAGTAAGCAGCAGAACAGTTCTTGACACTTGGAGTGGATATCTCGAATGATCTTGCTCTGGTTAGTGATGTTGAGTCCGATGAACGCTTCGCCGTTTTCGCAGATTGTTGGCAGAAGTTCACCGACGCAGAGCAAGATATTTGAAACGTCCACCAGCAGTAGCTGGGATCGTGAACGACTTGGCACGGTCTGCGTGTAGCGAACTGTAAGAACCGTCAGTGTTTCGTTCAGCATTCCGGCGAATACCCGTTGAGCCATGGTTGGTGGAACTGAGTTCCAGAGGTCTTGTTTCGTCCCTTGCATGTACAGCCACCACATTTGGATGGTGTAGGAGCCGCGTTCCGATTCGAAGAACGGATGTTGACTTTCCCAGTGGAGACAATCCGCATCTTGGATAATGTACAGCGTGAGCAAACGACAGTGCAGATCGAGCAACCGCTCCGCCAAGGCTTCCGTCATCTCCGAGTACTGCTTGTAGCTCATCTTCAGTGATCCTCCCTTCTCGTCGCCCTTCGGCGGGCACACGTTCTTGGTGACGCATCCAAGCCATATGATGAGACTGTTCTTGACCAGCGCAGCTGCGCCTATCGTGGCCGTCAGCACAGTTAGGTCAGCGTGATCCAGAGCTTCCTGGGACAGCGTGTGGATATGCTCCAACAGGTTGTCTACCGATTTGACCACCAACAGTACAAACTTCTCCGGATCCGAAGACTTAACTATACCGCCACATCCGGCCGCTTCGTCGGTTTCCTTCCCCTGGTGATCCTGCAGCACATCGCTTAGATGTAGTAGTCCCGAGTTCTTCCTGTAGGCAGCAAAGTACTCGTCCTCTAACCAGACAACTATCTTAACCGATGCAAAGGATGCCGACCGGGGGAAGTCCAACTTTCCGCCGACCACTCCGGGGCAGATGTTCTCCTGCAGCACCTTTTGATTGGCCTTGAATATGAAGGTATCGTTACGTAACGGTACAGGAAAGGGTACGCAATTGAATGATTTTACCTCGTAATATTCCAAATCCCTTGACAGCAGGATCGGAATCCTGTCCATAAGGTTACCTTCTTCCATAACCTCCATGATCGGGCGGTTTTACTCACTCAATTACAAATTTACAAGCAAATTTCAATCGAACAACGAATCCACGTGTCTTCCCGCTCAAATTAGCATTGGAAAGGAAAATGTTTATCGATTAAACAACGACCGGTTGTTTGGAAACGTAACGCCTCAACGGAATTGGGGTTACCTCACAATGAGCTTGACCTTGACCGCGTGAACCTCCGCAGGCGTGTCTAGCGAACACGTGGCCGTCGTTGCTAGCATCTGTTGCGCCTGAATGTATGGTACAGTGAGTCGTTTCCGTGGTGGAGGAAGAAGCACGCTTTTGTCAAAATAATGGATGTAAACAAGTTGTTTTTAAAGCTGGTGCCATTAGGAAATTAGCAACCAGATTGGCTTTATGCTGCCAAGTGAAAGGTAGAGTACGAAAACTTTAGCTATTTCTGGCGTCGTATGCCGCTCCATTAGACATAATCACATCTGGGAGTTTTCCGGTGCGTTGTCGCATCCATTACGGCGAAACGACGTGGAAACGGATTTATGAGGCACGCTGTCGCCAATGACAACTAAACAGAATGGAAGTGAGTGTAAAGTTTTTGAATATTATAAATTTTAACATTTACGTATTAACTAACGTCTGGATCGATTCAATCCGATGTCAGTCAAATCAACGCGATATCCGTCTCACTTAGCGAACGTTTAATGTACATTGAAACACCCCGCGCATCCATATATAGTGTCTCTGTCAGGTCCAGTGATTCCACCGAGCTTCGAATGAAATGAAACCGCTTGGTGTTTTACATGCACACGTGCAGCATAATTACATCATGGTAAACTGAAAAAGACTGTTCAAAAATATACTTTTTTTTTGCTAATTAAACGGATCATGTACACAAACTACTCGGTTCTTCTCTTCTCCAAAACATTCACCGCAAACATCGTCATTTTTAATTAAGCAGCCCTCAGTCATCTCATTGACATCCTCTTTAAAATATGTACACATTTCTGAAAAGCAAATCTCTACTTATTTACCCAAGTGCCATTAGGTGAAAATACCACCGAACAGCCCCCCAACGCCCCACCCTTCACAAACACATCCCGTTAGTTTTGTCTCTAGATATTTGCTGTTTTGCTATTCTAAGTGGAAGCAAATTTCCTTTCGTGGCCAAGCACCATACGAAGGTGCCTTTACCACAAGACTGGAGTGGTTAACATCGTATGCGCGCAGCCATGGGAAGGGGGTAGGTTGACATGATAGCATTCCAGCGGTAAAATAGATTAACATAAATCATATGCCGCTGATGTTGTGGCTTCCCACTAACTGCTGATGCGACTGCTCTTGAGATGCTCCTAGGTAAAGGTACCCAATGTGTTGAAGATTTACCTTCATTTCCCCGTGCATCGTTGTATAGTAAGCTGCAATGATTGCTTGTATGTATTTTCGCTTCTTTTTTTTCTGGAAATCGCGAGGATCACACATAAGATGTGAGTGTTCCATATGTCTTTTTGTTTCCTCCGATTTTTAGGGTCCATAAAAATTTCCAAAAAAAATGATATGGAAGATTGTCTACTTGGGGATTCTTAGACCTCTATAAGGTGGTCTACGTAGTTTATGAACAGTTCCATAGAAGTACATAATAAGGGGTTGTGTGTGTGTGTGTGCGTGTGTGTGTGTGTGTGTGTGTGTGTGTGTGTGTGTGTGTGTGTGTGTGTGTGTGTGTGTGTGTGTGTGTGTGTGTGTGTGTGTGTGTGTGTGTGTGTGTGTGTGTGTGTGTGTGTGTGTGTGTGTGTGTGTGTGTGTGTGTGTGTGTGTGTGTGTGTGTGTGTGTGTGTGTGTGTGTGTGTGTGTGTGTGTGTGTATGTCATCCTCTATACCTCACCCAGCCGGGGGCGTTGGACAAGTAGACCTGCCTAAATTTGATCAAATCTCATGCTCCGTAATGGTGCCCTTTATGTTGTGAAAACTAGTACTTCAAAAAGGGTAACTTTTGAGGCAAGACAGGGTGTCCTCAACAATTTAAGGGAACAGGATGCACCACAACAACTACAACAGAAACAACGACGACTACAACTGCAACACCAATCCCGCCAACTACAATAGAGACATCTCCAATAACTATAACAACTATAACAATAACTGCAACAATAACAACATCAGCGCTCAGGGTAATCACATAGTAAGCAGAAAAAATGTCAACCATTTGCTTCCGCCTGACAGAGTACTTCTAGAGATATTGAACCCGTACCCGGCGAGTGCTGAATTTCCACCTCCTATAACAGCACATCCAACCAACCGGTCAACTTCAGCTTCATCAGCGGTGCCGGTGGTGTAGTGGTAAGCGTGATTACCTCTCACCCCAGCAGGCCTGGGTTCAATCCCAGTCGGCGCCGCCGGGATGTTCTGAGGTATAACATCTCTGATCACGCCTTCCTTCGGAAGGGAAGTAAAGCCGTTGGTCCCCGGTTCATGAGTTGATGAGTCGATAGGTAGGGTCCAGGTGTGGGAGCTGCCTCCCTGGCGTCGGTAGCATCGGTGCTCAGCACGGAAAACAAGATCGACGGAAAACAAATCAAAGGAAAAAAAAAAAAAACTTCAGCTTCATCGTATGAGGCGTGCTCATGCAGGCACTCGTGTTTTCAACGCAATTGACGTACGCTTTGGAGGAAGAAAATATGTTTCTGCGTAACCTGATGCTCTCTTCAGAAGTAGTCTGTGACGTACCGGATGCGGCTGAGAATGAAATTGACGAGGATAACGACGTTTTGCAGGAGATGGACCTGACGCACTTTTCTGAGGCAGACTGTGACGAACCGGATGTGACTGGTAATGAATCCGATATTTTTAATAATATTCTAAGCTCTGACGAACAAACAAAAATTTCATCTGAAACACATTCTACGGGAATTGTGGTATATTGTCAGAATTTTAATCGTATGAAAAGCGCAACAAAAATGAATGAGATTTATAAAAATATACTGAGCTCCTCTTTTTCAGTTATTTTGGGCTAAAATGACATTGGATGAAAAGGAAGGTAATAATTCTGATGATATATGTAATCTTTTCGCCACTTTTTTTTCAAGAAACATACACGAAATTTTCAGATAATGATCGTGATTATGAATATTTTTCTTATTTTCCTGACTTTTCAACTACTGTTAGCGTTAATAACATTTCGCTTCATGATATTTGGAATGGCCTACGAGATTTGGACGCCACTAAAGGTTCAGGACCAGATGGAATCCCACCTATTTTTATGAAAAACTTAGCAACTGAACTCACAACCCCTTTATTCTGGCTGTTTAATATGTCGCTTGAATCCGGTATATTCCCGAAGGAATGGAAAAAATCTTACTTAATACCCATATATAAAACAGGTAAAAAATCCGATATTCGAAATTATCGTGCGATTGCTATCATTTCGTGCATTCCAAAACTCTTCGAATCAATTATAAATAAAAACATTTTTGGCCAAATAAAACAAAGAATAACTAGTGCAAAACACGGTTTTTTTAAAGGCCGTTCAACCACCACAAACCTTTTGGAATTTGTGGACTTTGTATTAAATGCAATGGACAGAGGTAACCAAGTAGTAGCTCTATATACAGACTTCAGCAAAGCGTTTGACAGAATTGATATCCCAATGCTGATTTTTAAATTAGAAAAAAATGGGAATTGAGATGGAGCTCCTCACCTGGATTAAATCGTATTTAGTTGATCGCCAGCAAATTGTAAGATTCAACGAGAAAACATCTAAGCCAATTCATGTCACGTCAGGGGTTCCCCAGGGATCGCACCTAGGTCCTCTTCTTTTTATTTTGTACATTAATGACGTCTCTCTTATTTTAAAAAATATCAGGGTGCTTATATACGCTGATGACATGAAGCTATTTTTAGAAATAGGAAGCGATAACGATATGAATGTGTTTCAGAATGAAATACATGTTTTTTACAGATGGTGTAGTAAAAGTTTATTGAAACTAAATATCAAAAAATGTAATCTTATAACGTACAGTAGAAAACTAAACAAACAAAATCTTTGTATTACATTAGGTAATGAAAATGTTCAAAAATGTGAAAATGTAAGAGATTTAGGTGTTATTCTAGATTCTAAATTGACATTTGTGGACCATTATAACACAATAATACATAGAGCAGGCAATATGCTTAATTTTATAAAACGTTTCGGTCTCCACTGCAAAGATCCTTATACAATTAAATCACGTTGCTTATGTTAGGTCAATTTTAGAATATTGTAGCGTTGTTTGGTCACCCTATATGAAAAAGCATGAAGAACGAATAGAGTCAATCCAAAAGCATTTTTTATTATATGCACTACGTAAGTTAGGTTGGACGGCTTTTCCTCTCCCGTCATATGAAGCACGTTGTTTGCTGATCAGCATTCAAACATTGAAAGAACGTCGGGATTACGCAAAGATTTATTTATTAAACAATATCATTTCGCAACGCATTGACTCAGCTGATCTATTGTCAAGGTTAAATTTGTATGCACCTTCCCGACAATTACGCAATCGACAGTTGTTCGCAGTAGATCGCCATCGGACCAATTACGCTAAATTTGGACCGGTAAATCAGATGATGACTGTTTATAATCATTATTGTGAAATGATTGACCTAAATATGCCCTCAACAGAATTAAAAATAAATTTCAGAACCCTGCGAAGTCATAGAACATAAGTCCTAATGTTAATATGTAGTCTACGATTTGATTGATTGACGAATAAATAAATAAAAATTAATAAAAAAAAGATGTCCACAACAGGTACAGCAAAACATCACATAGACGCCCTTATTCACACTAACTACTCAGGGGATAGAAGGTCAAGAAGAGCCACCGCCGCCAACTAAAGCTTGAACTGGGTACCTAGGACTCCCACGATATACCCACGGCAATGGTCAGCAGACGATGCCCTGTGCGTATTTAGTATGTAATATGTTTTATTTGGATACACAAAATGTTTGAAGCCATGCGTCATCTAAACCATAGTTTGCATCACCACAA